CTGCCGGCAGGAGGCCCCCGGGTCAACCCAGGACACGTTGGAGAGGTTACATCTCCAATCTGGTCCAGGAACGCCTTGGGGTCCTGCCGGAGGAGCTGGTGGAGAAGGCCGGGGAGAGGACGGTCTGGAGCTTCCTAGTTGGGATGCTGTCCCCGCGACCCGGACCCGGATAAGTGGAGGAAGACGACGACGACGATATCCAATTCTGGTATCTAGAGTCCAATTTGCACAACCGTTCCTTCTCATTTGAACATCTTTAGAAGATAAAACAACTTTGTGACCATAGCCAAGTGACTCAGACCCATAGCCACCCATACAAAATGCATGGTTGTTTGTCTAGGGCCACCTCCCAGAATGCATTGTGACATTATACCACAATCTATTTCATCTACTTTAAAGTCAGCTATTTGGTAATCAACCTCTCCAAATGATATCTCCCATTAATTATCCTTTAAGACTCTCAAAAACTAAATTGTGAATGGATCAAGATGCACACAATTGCCTTATGATGAAAGCCTTTACTACCACTATACCATATTTACAATGAAATGTGTAGCACACTCCCTGAAACAAGTACTCTGGAAGAAACACTCATTAAAATTTTTTTTAACAGAAATTGGATTTTGTGAATTTTTTTAACACATTAAAAATTCCTGCTACTCATGAGAGGAAACTGAGAACTCTTGCAAACATTTCAAGACTTTTTGACAACTTTCTTAGGAATGCTGATCGCAAATTGTCACCAAAAGTTGTTTTCTGCGTTTACCATATATAGCATTTTGCTTACATCTTTCTGACTTGGTTGCAAGTGTTTGCAACTATTTAGAGACATAATAAATGGCAAGGAAGCATGCACACACAATAAAAGCTGAATTAAGGGTTAAGTTGGTGTTGGACCTATATTCAAAAGAATAATTTAAATGTATCTAAAGTTCCAGCGATAGAAGAATGAGGCTCTGTGACTCAAATGAGCAAACTGAGAACCCTCTGCCAACATCTCGGAGCACTTTGGAGACTGCTTCGTGAATACCAATCAAAATTTATAGCAAAGAGTTTTTACATATTTCTGGCCTTGAAATCTAGACAAGCCGTTGAAGTATATATATTATCTTTATTTCATTCAATAAAAAATAACACAACAGATACTAAACAATATTCATGAAAACACAATATATATTTGAATGAAAGGGTAGGGTAGGGCAGATAGAAGAAAAATCTTATTATTTCTGCCCCCTTTTTAAACTTAAATATCAATTTATATTTGTGCAGTCCCTCACCAGTTCTTTCAGTCCCGTAACTGTTCACATTTGTTAATTATTATGTCCACATCAATTGTCCGTTGTCATATCCACTCAACACACGTGATTTAATGTGTAGACTGAACACTTTTAGAGTTCTTGACTCTTTCCATTCTCTGTCCAGGCAATTCCACAACTTCACACCATTCACAGATATACTCATTTCCTTCATTCCAGTAGTTACGGTCGGTTTAGCCATGCTTAATTGTAGCCTCAGCAGGTCTACTATTGGCCTGAACAGTTGTGTGTCCATCAACTAAAAGCACTCTGTTTGTTGGGCGAACTTGGCACTAGAGTTGCAATGGAGAAAAACTACAAGTATGGCGTCGGCTTAGGAATGAAACTCGTTTGAAACGGCCTTGGTTTCAACTTTGTTTTAGACTTGGGTTTTTCTCTAAGTCACCAGCAGATAGAGGTCAATTAGTGAGAAACAGAATGCATCCTCGACTGTGTATGGTGGACTACCCCCAGGCCCGGCGTCAAGGCGGGGCCTGGGCGGGCCCGGCCCGCCCATTTGCCGATCTGGCCCGCCCAGGACAGATTACAGCACTGCATGCAAATGTATTGGCTCGAGACAATCAACAGAGGGCGCTCTAGGTTACTAATCGACAGTTTTAGATGCAGTAGAAGAAGCCGCTTTGGTACAGTAGCTTGCTAAAATGGATATCAGAGCTTGGTTTAGCAAACAGAAAAACAATGCTAGCACAAGCAGGGATGACGCATCATCAAAAAGGCCAGTGCAGCCAGAAGTTGCAGCTACAAGCGCTTCTGTTCCTCCTCTCTCCGTGCCTCCAGCACAGTCTCAGCAGGCAATTGCGCCACCGAGTGGCAGCAGCACCAACATAAATCGCTGTTCAGATGACCTCGGGGTGGATAAGCATAATCAGGTGCGCCTGGAAAATTATCCAGTTCGACTTTTCTCTGGGAAAAAACGCAGTTTTTCTTCATCATGGTACCAAAATAGAACATGGTTGGAGTATTCAGTGAAAACAGATGCAGCATACGGTTTCCCCTGCAGACAGTTTAGTTCTCATTCCTCATCAAACTCTTTGTTACCATTTTGAATTCAGGGGTGTCTGCTGTCCTTTTTATTCAAATGTTTTAAAACACATATTAAAGTTGAAACTGTTCCATCTTAAATACAGGGTTGTCTGTTCTCTTTTTAGAAAGAAAACAGTCTAGATTTTCTAAATCTTGTTTGGAAGACCTAGGTTACACTTCTTACCAGCTGGTAGCAGTAACGCACCAAGTCAATGTTTACCCAGAAGAAGAAGCACGCAGCCAAGAAGTAGCATGCTAATCTGATGCTAACTAGTATTCATGATGTAAACATTATGAGAAATACGTGCAAAAAGAAGAATTTACTAAGGTATCAAGCTGCAGGGAAGGATTTGGAAGAAGACTTTTGGACTAAGTACGTTATTGGAGAACATTAACTGGACGTTAGGATTGTTTTGAGATGGTGACTCTGTGGTGCCCAGGCGCAGCTAAGAATGGTGAGTTGCAAGTATTGGTTCAGTAAAATTGGTTACTTTGTCTTAAGTTTTGATTGCATCTTTAATTTGCATACATAATCGGAATAAAACAATGAAGAATCTGAGCTTTTCAGTTAGTTATGTAGAACAAGTTGGTGACGCAAAACGACGGATTTGACCCAGAATTATATGTATGTAACGTCCACCAGACAGATTATAAACATGCAAAGGGGTTGAGAAAAACACGGTTTACTGGGCCCCCCCAGAAAAACCCACTGCCCCTCCAGGTGAAGTCCTCTGGCGCTGGGTCTGTCTACCCCGTTAACTGACATTTGTGAGTATGTCACGTTGTTTGTTCTCAATTAGCATGCAGAGACAGTCTGGGAGACAGCTGTAGATCTCCGCCCAGTGCCATGACTGAGTTCTGTCTATGGGTCGTAGCCAGACAATACATCATTTTCACATATGGCTTGCCCGGCTACGAAAGCCTGGCATTTCTTCCAGAATGTTACTCTGAACTGTGCAGTTCAAGAAGAAAGCAGCACTGCTGGTGAAACCACAACGCTCAGATATGAGATACACTTTAAAGGCGCAGCTGTGGAATAGGTTTCAGGAGTTTGCAATGTCGCAAGTGTCCAAGTGCATTTCGCCATGGGTCAAAGTTTGTGTCTGTGAAAACTTTATGATGTCACTTGTCATAAAAGGAAATGATAAAGTGAATAAAACATTTGCAAACACTTAAAAATACAGTTTTTATTCTAATGAGCTGGCAGGAGCAAAGAGATTTTTGAGATTGGAGTTAAAGACCTTGGTCTTGATTAGATTATCCATTAGTTAGCCCCATCGACATATAAATATTGGACAATGGGTTTCCATAGCCTCCAATAACACATTTTTGAGGCTAAATGGGAGATGGCCACCACCGCCATTTTGACCGTGTCACAGGTTCCGTCAAGCCCAGACAATTCCAGAAAGGGAAGAGAGGTGGAGCTGAGGGTGGGGCTGTAAGGCTGGGATCAACTGACGACACCCGGTCGAACTAGCTATAAGCTAACCTGAAGCTAACCCAAAGCTAACGGAGGTAGCAACCTAGCTACAACAGGAGTTAACTGTGCACAACACCAGAGCTTCTGAGTCAGAGATACGCTGGGCTGACCGCTGGGTAAAACCGGGTGGAACACAGAGGTCTCCCGAAAGCTGTTGAAAGCCGGCAGCCCGCGCAGCAGACAGAAGCCGCGATCAGACAGAGATGCGCCGAGCTGCGGGGAGGGGAGAACGGGTGGAAAACATCGGTCTCCCGAGAGCTCCACAAGCCGATAGTCGGAACCCAGCTCCACCAACATGTTATATTTCAACCCATTTTCTAAAGTGCAGCATTATGTTAAATGCACTGGGATTTACCCTATTACATTTAAATTTCATGGTTAAACAGTACATGTTAAAATCTAAGCTCAGCTCGGCAGTGACCTAAAATACATAAATATAATTTCACTTACCGAAAAAAATGAAGTGGAGACTCCTTGGACGCTCTATTAGTGCAATTAATGCCACAGCAAGTCATTTTGTCCAACAATTGCACAAAAAATATCCAAAAAAGAATACACAAACACAGAGACTCAAAATCCCGGAACAGTTTCCAAGCCAGGCCGAGGCTCTACTGAGGCCTTTCCACGGAGCTAGCTCTGTGGTCACGTGGGTCTGATGCTCATTAATTATACAGAATTTTAGGCTTTTATTACACTTAAACAGAAGAGTGAGAAAAAAATTCACCCCCCTCAGAGTTGTCATGAGTGTAAACTAGATAATTTAAACAAAAAACATGTTTTGGTACCAGGCTGTAAACATGTTTATTTCTGCTGTGAAATTGGTATTTTTAACATGTGAGTCAATGAGGATTTGCTCGCTTCTGACACCAGCCCCCAGTGGTCGCGGATGAGGGTGGAACTGCAATTTTTGGTACTTTCGGGTTGAGAACAATTTTAGAGCTACATTGTGGGGGCTTGGTTAGCCCACAAGAACAGAAAAAGTCATGTACATGCTGCAAACATGCAGTTTATCTTTTGAAATCAAGGTGGCAGCAGTTTGTTGGCTGGCAAACGCAGTGGCTTGGCCACACTCACCTAGACTCGATGGTTTCTCAAAACCCTACTCAAGAGAGGACATAGGGACCATTCTATAAACCTAATGACCATAAAACACACAAAAACACAAAAAAGACCCAATTGGGTGTTTCACAGCACTGAAATTTATAAATAGAAACATAAAAATCAATTAAAAACACCTCCAAGGTTTGGTAACTGATTATTTGAAAAATATTTCAGAAATAACTAAGTCACTTTAAAAAGCCTCAGATCCATTTATTTTGTTCAAAAATAAAACACATTCCATCAGAGATTTTCAGCATTAATCCCTGTTGTAGTATTTGAAACAATCACATGAGCGAAACAAAACGACTCTTAAAAACACGACTGTTTGTTAAACTGGCCCACACCAATAAAGGTATGTTTAGTTCAGACGACATTTAACAAAAAAAAAAAAAAAACAGAAGATAAATCTCTGTTCTGGGTCGATTATTTCTGCCTGGTTTGGTGTGATCACCAGCATCTCCCGCAGTCTGGTTTGGCGCTGCAATCGGTGATCTGAGATCTGCAACAAGATCAAATACGATTAAATCAGAGGTAAATAGTTCATTTTAAATTCATTTGTTTACTCACTCTGTCACTTCCTTGCAGGTATAAACAATTCTCTGATCCAGCTTTGTCTTTAAGCTCTGTAATGAGGCATTGCTGCAATTTGATCTAAATACACAAAAAGGAAATGAGGATCAATTTCCCGTCAAATGAGTCAGTCTAAGATGAATAAATGAAACTTGCATGAGCTTTTACATATTAAAACATAAAAAAAATGCAGGAAAAAAAAGTGAATAAAAAGGAAATCTTACACAGAGTTAGTGACCAGAACAACGTTCAGGCTTTTCACCTTGGTGGAGTTAAGTCTCGGGACCTCAATGCTGGCAAAAACACTGAAGGTAGTAAAGGAGGACAGCTTAATATCTCAGAAGAGAGCTTTTTATGTTTAGATGGTGGATCCTGAAACCATCAGACGAACCTTGTGGGATTAAACGGCGTGGAGATGGAACCATTTAGCATCACGCTAACGTCACCACAGGCCGCCTCTGCAAACTGCACACAAGAAGTACAATTCAGATTTGTTCATGTGTTGGGATTCGCTCTCAGCTAACACCTTAACTCATACTACCTTAATAGCCGTGTTTCCACTATAGGAGTTCTGGGACATTTCTGGCTGGGGGGAATACGATGACTCGTCGTTCCACACAAGATGGTCCTTTTTAGGACTTTGCTAAGACATCAGCATATCGCAACTGCAGCTGTGATGTCACTGATCAGTGCCAAACGACATCCATGGACAATATTAAAAGTTTGACTCTGTCAAATTAGGCAATAATTTAATATATTTGGGGCAGCTTGTGTGACGTTAAAAGTGGCATTGAATGACCAGAAGAAGCACTTTTTTACAGTGCTCTGTAGATCACAAAATGGTGAAAAGTATGGTATTGTGGGGGATTTTTGGCAACATTTGTAAGCGTTGGGAGTTTAGAAATGACTGTGTTTTATTTTCCTTCCATTGAGCTTCACGAGAAACTCTTCCAATTTTACAGCTGCTGGTTGTTTGTCAACATCAGCCGGTATCATTTCCTACTGAGGTACAACCAATCAGCATGATTTAACCCCAAGTCTTGTCCAGTGACTTCGCATAGACCCCAGCTCAGGTTCTCGGTTAGTCCCTGAAATGTCCCGAACAGTGGTCCTTTGGGACAGAGTCGGTGAATTGAAGACATGCAAATGCTGCGAAGGTCGGGTAAAATTATCCAGGTATAATGGAATCAAGCCTAGTATCCGTGAAACTGATTGATTTTTCTATTGACACCGATACGGGAGACATGGCCAGCCCATGGCCGATATGTACTGGCAATTTTTATGGGCCGATACCCAAGGCTAATATTTAGACATTTTCCACCTTATTTTCATGCTAAAATATCACAAAATACATTTTAGCACAAAAATTCTGAAGCTGAATCCATTTCTAAACTCTGAATTTAACTAACTGTTAAATTTTAACTTTGTGCACTGCTCAGTGTTAAAGTCAGATACCTAAAAACCTAAAGTATTTATTATGCAGATGTTATTAGTAGATCGAAGGATCTTTCATGGCGGTTAAAACGAAGAGTCGGAGTACCCGGCCCGGAGGGTTACCGGGGTCCCACCCTGGAGCCAGGCCTGGGGTTGGGGCCCGTGAGCGAGCGCCTGGTGGCCGGGCTTTCGCCCATGGGGCCCGGCCGGGCCCAGCCCGAACCGGATACATGGGCTCGTCCAACTGTGGACCCACCACCCGCAGGAGGAACATGAAGGGTCAGGTGCAATGCGAATCGGGTGGCAGACCAAGGCGGGAGCCTTGGCGGTCCAATCCCCGGACAAGAAAACTAGTTTTTGGGACATGGAACGTCACCTCGCTGGCGGGGAAGGAGCCGGAGCTTGTGGCAGAGGTTGAGCGGTACTGGCTAGATATAGTCGGACTCACCTCGACACATTGCATTGGCTCTGGAACCCGAGACCTGGAGAGGGGTTGGACACTCTACTTTGCTGGAGTTGCTCCGGGTGAGAGGCGGAGGGCTGGGGTTGGCTTTTTGTTAGCCCCGAGACTCTCTGCCTGTGTGTTGGGGTTTACCCCGGGGGACAAGAGGGTAGCTTCCTTGCGCCTTCGGGTCGGGGAACGGGTCCTGACTGTTGTTTGTGCTTATGGGCCAAATATCAGTTCAGAGTACCCACCCTTTTTGGAGTCCGTGGGACGAGTGCTAGATATTGCTCCATCAGGGGACTCCATTGTCCTGCTGGGGGACTTCAATGCTCACGTGGGCAATGACAGCTTGACCTGGAGGGGTGTGATTGGGAGGAACGGCCCACCTAATCTGAACTCGAGCGGTGTTTTGTTATTGGACTTCTGTGCAAGCCGCAGTTTGGCCATAACGAACACCATGTTCGAACATAAGGATGCCCACCGGTACACTTGGTACCAGGGCAGCCTAGGTCACAGGTCGATGATAGATTTTGTAGTCGTATCATCTGACCTGCGGCCGTATGTTTTGGACACCCGAGTGAAGAGAGGGGCGGAGCTGTCAACTGATCACCACCTGGTGGTGAGTTGGATCAGATGGCAAGGGAACATGCCGCGTAGACCTGGCAGACCCAAACGCATAGTGAGGGTCTGCTGGGAACGCCTGGCAGAAGAACCTGTCAAGACGGTCTTCAACTCCCACCTCCGGCAGAGCTTTGACCACGTCCCGAGAGCAGTGGGGGACATTGAGTCCGAGTGGGCCTTGTTCCACTCTGCGATTGTCGAGGCGGCTGTTGCTAGCTGTGGTCGTAAGGTGGCCGGTGCCAGTCGTGGTGGCAACCCCCGTACCCGCTGGTGGACACCAGAGGTTCGGGGAGCCGTCAGGCTGAAGAAGGAGGCCTACAGGGCGTGGCTGGTCTGTGGGTCTCCGGAGGCAGCAGACAGGTACCGGATAGCCAAGCGGGGTGCAGCAGTGGCAGTTGCCGAGGCAAAATCTCGGGCGTGGGAGGAGTTTGGTGAGGCCATGGAGAAAGACTATCGATCGGCTCCAAAGAGGTTCTGGCAAACTGTCCGGCGCCTCAGGAGAGGAAGGCAGCAACTCGCTCACACTGTTTACAGTGGGGATGGGGAGCTGCTGACGTCAACTGAGGCTATAGTCGGACGGTGGAAGGAATACTTTGAGGAGCTCCTCAATCCCACCAATGCGCATTCCGAGGAGGAACCAGAGCTGGGAGGCCTGGGGATGGACTGTCCGATCTCGGGGGCAGAAGTTGCTGAGGTAGTCAAACAACTACACAGCGGCGGAGCCCCGGGGGCGGATGAGGTTCGTCCTGGGTATCTCAAGGCTATGGATGTTGTAGGGCTGTCATGGTTGACACGTCTCTACAACATTGCGTGGTCATCGGGGGCAGTTCCTAGGGAGTGGCAGACCGGGGTGGTGGTCCCCATCTTTAAGAAGGGTGACCTGAGGGTGTGTTCCAACTATAGGGGGATCACACTCCTCAGCCTCCCGGGAAAGGTCTACGCCAAGGTACTGGAGAGGAGGGTCCGATCGATAGTTGAATCTCAGATAGAGGAGGAGCAATGTGGTTTTCGTCCTGGCCGTAGAACTGTGGACCAGCTCTATACCCTTGCAAGGGTGATGGAGGGGGCATGGGAGTTTGCCCAACCAATCCACATGTGCTTTGTGGATTTGGAGAAGGCTTATGACCGTGTCCCCAGGGGCACCCTGTGGGGAACGCTCCAGGAGTATGGGGTGGGTGGCTTTCTGTTAAGGGCCATTCAGTCCCTTTACCAGAGGAGCGTGAGTTTGGTCCGCATAGCCGGTAGTAAGTCGGACCTGTTCCCAGTGAGGGTTGGACTCCGCCAGGGCTGCCCTTTGTCACCGGTTCTGTTCATCACTTTTATGGACAGAATTTCTAGACGCAGCCGTGGTGTGGAGTGTGTCGAGTTTGGTGGCAGGAGAATCTCGTCTCTGCTTTTTGCGGATGATGTGGTCCTCCTAGCTTCATCCAGCTCTGACCTTCAGCTCTTGCTGGGTAGGTTCGCAGCCGAATGTGAAGCGGCTGGGATGAGGATCAGCACCTCCAAATCTGAGACCATGGTTCTCGACCGGAAAAGGGTGGCTTGCCACCTCCGGGTCGGGGGAGAGGTCCTACCTCAAGTGGAGGAGTTTAAGTATCTCGGGGTCTTGTTCACGAGTGAGGGTAGGAGGGATCGGGAGATCGACAGGCGGATTGGTTCGGCGTCTGCAGTGATGCGGACGCTGAGCCGATCTGTCGTGGGGAAGAGGGAGCTGAGCCAGAAAGCCAGGCTCTCGATTTACCGGTCGATCTACGTCCCAATCCTCACCTATGGTCATGAGCTTTGGGTAATGACCGAAAGAACGAGATCGCGGATACAAGCGGCCGAAATGAGTTTCCTCCGTAGGGTGGCCGGGCTCAGCCTTAGAGATAGGGTGAGGAGCTCGGACATTCGGGAGGGACTCGGAGTAGAACCGCTGCTCCTCCGGATCGAAAGGAGCCAGTTGAGGTGGTTTGGGCATCTGGTCAGGATGCCTCCTGGACGCCTCCCCGGGGAGGTGTTTCGGGCATGTCCTGCCGGCAGAAGGCCCCCGGGTCGACCCAGGACACGTTGGAGAGGTTACATCTCCAATCTGGTCCGGGAACGCCTTGGGGTCCTGCCGGAGGAGCTGGTGGACAAGGCCGGGGAGAGGACGGCCTGGAGCTCCCTAATTGGGATGCTGCCCCCGCGACCCGGACCCGGATAAGCGGAGGAAGACGAAGACGAAGACGAAGACGAAGACGAAGATGTTATTAGTAAACATAAAAATGCAATACAATTCAATTCAGCAACAGCCCAAAACTGCCCGAGGATGCACCTGACTATAAATCAGCTTTACTAAGGACAAGCATCGGCCGATAAACGGTAAACATCGGCCCTATATATCAGCAGGCCGCTAGATCGGTCTACCCCTACTCAGTTATACTATTTATTTACCTGCTAATGTTGATCAGCTTGGTGGCCGTAAGTTTTACTTGTTGGTAAGAGGTCATCAGCACTAGAAAAGACTGCTTTGTTGTTATAAACAGGCCTGGTTTCTAACAGTTAAGATAAATAAATAGACATGAAAATAACTTTTCATCAGATGTGAAAGTTGACATTTATGTGAATCACTGCTGGTTTATAAATGACAGTTATTTTGGTCAATATGAAAAATCATGACTGCTCAGCTGACCCTAACCCTAACACACCAGGAAAGTAACAGTGAATTTAACAAAATAAAAGCATCAAAATTTTACTTTTTTATTCTCATATTATTGGATATTTTGAATTTTGACTCAAAATCGTTGATCACCAAAAGTGTTTATCAGAGTTTTAGAGGATTACGTAACACCTAAAAGACCCAGAGTTCGTGTTTTAGAGACTTTAGTTACTAACAGGTGGTACCTCCTCATGTTTCTGTAAACTTTTAGAAGAAAAAGGTAAAAATCTGAGTGTTTTCTAACTGAAGTGAGAATTTACTGTTTACATCAATACCTCCTAATGATTTTCAGACCTTATACAAGCAGCATTTAATCTGTTGGATAGTATAAAGGTGAATTTGTGCTGAGTAATTTATTAAAAACAACATATTTCATGCATTCGATCTCAGGCTGTTTTAAGTGTTTCTCTGCAGCAGAACCCAGACCGGTTCTCTGTGAGTGTGTGGGCCGCTGCTCCATCAGGAGGGAGCAGCTCCATGGAGACCGACACAAAGCCTCTTTCATGCACATCCAGGCAGTGCAACCTTTCCCCCTTTCTACCTCTCCATCACAGTCAGGAGATCAGCACAGATGTTCCCCCACAGCTGGGACACTTCTCTCAGGAACATCTTGTAACGAGTTTGGGACTCACCGCGGCCGAGGCTCTCCTCCAAAACGAGCGAACGGAGTTGTTCACACACTCGTTCCATTCAGGACACCCGGTGGTGAACGTTTCTGTGGCAACGACGTACAAACAAACGTGAAAATAAAGGCTTCAAAAGACAAGTTAAGTTAGTCGTTTTTACGTGACACAAAACTGCTTGAAAAATAAAAAGTGCCAAGCTGAGCTTTGAGATGTTGAAACACAAGGATGTACCAACAAAACAAACTAATAACACGTGTGTGTCCTATTTATTACAGTCCCAGATGATAATTATAGAGCCTTTGGCCAAGCGAGACTGACGCTCTTCAGGAATCTCACCTTCGCTTCCCTTCATCCCACACCAGCTCAGATTATTCAGGCTCGACCCCAGGACGGTGTCCTCTATCGTCTGGAGACAATCTCTCCCTGTGGTTAATTCATGGACGGCTTTATTGGTTTTGCTCCACAACATCGTCTAATCCCAAAACAGAGTAAAAAAACATCACTTTTAATGAACATTTCTGTTCAGCCCAGAGGAAGATTTATGGATTGATGTGAGGGAGTTTGAACCTGGTTGCATAATCTTTTGAAGGGGACAGCAGCGATAAGAGGATCGTAGGCTTCCTCAGAAACATTACAAGGATCCCGGTTCACGAAGACTTGTTTGAACGTCTTCCATATGTTTTCACAGTCGTACCTGAAAGCACATAAATGCACAGTTTAGTCCTTCATTCCAATTATTTGGACATTTAGAAAAGTAATATAATTTAGATTTATTTCACATATTACTTTAACAATGTAATCATTTTCAGTTTGATTCTTTAATATTTAGAGTTGACATTAAATGCTTAAGTTTTATTCTAATTGACTTAATTTAATATATTTTGGATTTGATTCTACTAATTTTTTGATCAAGTGTTTTCTAATTTATATGTAACCTCATTTCATTCAGAATAGTTTCTTTATTTTTTAATATTTAGATCATATATATATATATATATGTGTGTGTATATATATATATATATATATATATATATATATATATATATATATATATATATATATATATGTATATATTTTGTGTATATATATATATATATATATATATATATATATTATGTGTATAGAGTATTTAGACTTAAATCTAAATATATAATTTCAATCAACTTCATTAAAAATGTATTTTAAAATTTGAAGTCCCTGGGCTGCCACCTTACTGTGGTGAAGCGGTTTGAGTGTCCCAATGATCCTAGGAGCTAAGATGTCTGAGCTTTATGCCTCTGGTAGGGTCACCCGTGGCAAGCAGCCCAAATTCTCCTTATGAAGAAAAACACAAATGGAATCAGATTTTCCCCTCGCCCAGACGCGGGTCATCGAGGCCGCCCTCTCGAGCCGGGGCTGGAGGTGGTGGGGTACGTTGGAAAGAGCCTGGTGGCTCCGGAACCCGTTTCCTTGAGAGGGATATGACACTCTACCACTCTGGAGTTTGTCTCACTAAGTGGCGCCAAGCAGGGGTGGGCATACTAGTCCGTGCATCCGAAGAGAGGGGTGGCCGACCAGAGCTGTGGCCACAGGGTCGTCAGTACCTGTCATGGTGGCAACCCCCGAACCCGCTGGTGGACACCGGCAGTTAGGGATGCTGTCAAGCTGAAGAAAGAGTCCTATCAGGTATTTTTGGCCTGTGGGACTCCAGAGGCAGCTCATATGGCGTTTACACATTAGCGTCGACACGGGCCCATATGGTACCGAACGGCACCAGAATTTGGTTTCACACACCGGTCCGAGTCACGTTTTCAGTGCCGAGGCCACTCTTTTTCTAAAACCTCCTCTCCAGGGGTCAGACTGGGACCGAGGCGACACTACGGACTGATTGGGCAGCTGAAAATACGCCTACCGCCTCTGATCTGCGAGAAGAATGAGCCAGCGGAGGTTTCCTGCATATATATGTATGTACAAATATATATATGGCAATGGAGAGGAACAACATCATACATGACATCAAACAGCAATATCAAACGTGATTTACTTCTTTTTGATTTAATGGTGGATTGCATAAAACACCATAATGGCATGGCAGAGAAGCCACTTTGCTGCTGAGACTTTCCTGGTGTGCACTTCAGTGCACTGGTTGTCGTGAGTACACCGTTCTGCTGCTGTTCTGCGCCTCTTTTGCTTCCAGTGTGCAGTAGCTGTTAGGCTGCTGTCATTGCAATCCAACTCCAGATGAGTGGAAGAAAATGGATTGATGGATTTTTATGTTTTATATATTTAGATTTTTATCGAAACATTTAGATGATATTTTCCAACTTTCATGTTGCTGTATGTATATTTGTGACCCAGCAAATGGGATCACTTTTCTCTGTTAACCCATAATAAAGACATTAAAGAACCAAACTTCATGAATGTTTTTTTGTGACAAAGAAGTATCTGTTCCAATCACTCTATCAGAGAAAAATCTGAGTTTTAGAAATAACGGGACACTCAGTAGAGCCATTAAATTATATTTTTTACAAGTGTATGTAAACATGTATATCGCGGCTTTCCTCTCAAAGTGAATGAAAATTGCAACACTTACCCTTTGAAGTTTTGGCACCTGTTCAGAAAATCCGTTTTAAGTCCAGCTGACTGTCTGCCAGTCAGAGTCACTCCCAGCACCACGGCGATGATAATGAGCAGAACCAGAACCACGAGCAGTACCAGGGGGATGGCCCATTTACTCCGTTTCTTCCTCACATCACCAACCTCACCACGCTCCATTTTAAAGCCCTCAAATTCAGAAATCTATCTAGAGAGCTGTTTGTGATCACTTCTGCCAGGCTCGCGCTCCAAGTAGTGCTCGGGCTGACTGCAGCTCCACCCTCTCTCGCGCTCCAACTGTTAACAGCGGGGCGAGCACTGGAGAGCGCACGCGAGACGGTGTCAAATGCGCGCGCGAGCTCGCTCTGCAAATAGACACAGTCCACATCAAACAGGGCTCAATATGACATCACAACAAGGTAGAAATGCCAAAAACAAAGTATTTATCTAAAATCATTTAGACTTAAGCTAACAACTTAGAAGAATAAGTTGGAGAAAATAAGTCCCAAGTCCACTTTCAAATGTGACTTTGAACTTTTTCAGTCCATTTTTTTATTGGATTTAAAATGGATAAACATGTACAATAAAATTTTAAGTCCAATCTTTTCACATGAAAAAAAGAAAACAATAAAACAATCGTCATAAGAATGGTCTTCACAGATCTTTCAATGGGATTTTTTGTGGGGGTTCTAAAAAAGTAAAAATTGTTTTATGGTGAATCTTTGCTCTAATGCTTAACATAAACTAATAATAATAATAATAATAATAATAATAATAATAATAATAATAATACATTTTAGTACATTTTAGAAATTATATTTCAGAAGTGTCAGTCTACATCAACAGCCATACTGAAGAGTAAAATTCACCATTAGAAGTTGAAGTGTGTGTGTGTGTGTGTGTGTGTGTGTCTTTCTGCCATTGTGGGGACCATAGCCTGACAGCACACTCACGGTGTGGGGACCAAATTCATTGTGGGGACCAAAACCCCGGTCCCCACAAAGTTTGCATTGAATTCAGTGAAAATAAGTCCAGGGAGATGCCCTGTCAAATTTTCAGAGTGGTCCCCAAATTTCACAAATCCATGAATTTTGTGTATAGGTGTGTATAGCGTAAGCAGCTCAGTACCGGCCCCTGGTGGTAAGTGATGGTACTGCAGGAACACACACTTACACACTTACACACCAATCTTACTTTTGTTACATCGTTGGGACTTACAAAGAAATCTACCCCATGCAGAGTTTTTAACATATTTTTCTAATGATTATTAATTAATATTTTTTATTTGCATCCTTCACAGATAGTTGAAGCTGTAAATGTGACTGTAGATAGGGTTTTAACTTGTTTGGTGGTTTTCTTTTATGTTTTTAGGTCAAGGTCAATTATTTTATGAAGTACATGTCGTTGTTACTCACACAACCCATAATGCTATTCATACAAAACCAACACAATAGTTAAACACAATAAGAGACACCAGACTAATAATCAATTATTATATAAGAACAATACAGTAGTACTAAAAACATGCAATAAATAATCATAAAAAGCTATTTTAAAAAATGAAGCTGCAGTAAGCTGCACAGGTCAGCTTGCATTCAAAGCCAAGTCAAATAAATAACTAGATATGGAAGTAAAAAAAGGTAATGATCTGAGGCACTCCAAAAAATAATTTATTATAATGAAAACTGATGTGTTTCGGGCACATGTGACCTTCTTCAGGGCATAATCCCTATCGCACGTAACTATTTGTTTGTTATTGAATCGCTTACTGACATCCAATGATCTCCAGTCAAGGCAACATACTCTGCTTTCTTCAGTAAATTCTCTTTATCTTGATTTTCATTGTCATAAAAGTGTCCAAAGTGGTCGCATCTTCGTTCATGTTCACAGTGCTTTGTTGTCTGAAATGAACAACGAACGCTGGTTGGTGCTCCAGTATAATTGGTCCGCTGAAACTCGTGAGGGACGTTCCTATTAATGTTAAATGTGTTAAATTTTTAAAAAGCATCATTTTTTTCTAATTAATTAATCAATTAATGCGTTTAAGTCTATATATATATTAGGGGTGGAATGTTATAGACGTTAATGTGCTGCAGCAACGCCAGACTCTTACCGCACGATAAAAAAATTTCCGCCAACAATCTATACTTAAAGCTGAGTTGGGATCTGGAAGTGCATTTGAATGACTTTCACATTGATATTCTAGCGCAGATGTTTACAAAGTTCCATTTGTTTTATATCAAATCTAGAATTTGCCTTTTGTGGACTTAAAATAAAAATCTGATTATTGTAAAAATCATTTGGCAAATATGTTCAAGTGAAAATATGCAGATTTATTGCGGGGGATAACCCAGCACGCAGGGTTTGAATAACAGCAGCGAGCCGGCTCACATAAGGGTGACATCATGCTCCTCTTTCCTTCTACTGTCTTACACACCCCTGAGGAGCCCAAAAAATGTAAAGTTTCTACATATATAACATTAATTATATGGACTCTCGGCGTACTAAGGATTCTTTTGAGCAGAGAGGATGCAAAGCGCTGATTGCTGATACGGTGAAGCGCTCTGCCCTGCTTACTTTAAGAACGCTGTAATCCACCCGCTTCTTAAAAACCAAGTTTTGACCCCTCTCTCAATTGCAGCTTCAGACCCATCTCTAAACTTCCGTTCATCTCCAAGATCTTGGAAAAGGTTGTGTCTAAACAACTCACAGCTGCTCTTGATGAACATAACATCTATGATAGCTTCCAGTCATGTTTTTGTAGAGCTCATTCTACTGAAACAGCTCTTCTTAGGGTCTCTAATGACCTTCTGACTCACAATGATGCAGGGGACTGTTCTGTTCTGGTCCTGCTGGACCTGACTGCAGCCTTTGACACTGTTGACCATCACCTGCTACTGGAGAGACTGAGAGACTGGGTAGGCCTATCAGGTTCTGCTCTGGAGTGGTTCTCCTCTTATCTTTCTGAGTGCTCCTTTTCTGTGGCCATCTCCAAGTTTAGGTCCTCCACCACCTCCCTTACCCATGGTGTCCCACAAGGTTCTGTGCTGGGGCCTCTGCTCTTCCTCCTCTATTTGCTTACTCTTCAGCACATCCTGAGCTCCTTCAAAGGAATCTCCTACCATCTTTATGCAGATGACATCCAACTGTACATCTCCTTTAAGCCCCATGAGATGTCTAAGCTGCAGCTGTTACACACCTGCTTAGACTCTATCAAAACCTGGATGGCTGGGAGCTTTCTACAGCTGAATGAAGATAAGACTGAGATCCTCATCTGTGCCCCAGACAAGCTGGTTCCCAAAGTCAGAGACTCTCTTGGTCAGCTTGCTTTTCACACCAAACCCTCTGTCAGGAATCTTGGTGTGACCTTTTACCCAGCTCACCCTAGATTCTCATGTCAGTTCTCTTGTTAGCTCTTCCTTCTTCTATCTCAGGAACATTGCTAAGCTGAGTCCCATTCTGTCCCGCTCTGAACCTGACTGTTCTCCACACCTTCATCTCCTCACGCTTAGACTACTGTAACTCTTTTCACGTGTCTGAGCAGAACCTCCCTGAACCGTCTATAGGTCGTTCAGAACGCCTGTGCTCGGCGTTTGACCAAGTCCTCCAAACACACCCACATCATCCCGCTTCTCCTCCAGCTTCACTGGCTGCCAGTCAACTTCAGGGTTTTTTCAAGATCTGGTTCTGGTCTATAGGGCCTTACATGGACAAGCACCATCTTACATTGGTGATTTTCTTAGTCCCTACACCCCCAGCAGGTCCCTGAGGTCCAGTGATCAAAGCCTACTGATTGTGCAGCGCACCAGGCTAAAGACCAAATGTGACCGATCATTTGCTGCTGTGGCCCCTAGACTCTGGAACTCCCTCCCCCTGAGCCTGAGATCAGTGGACTCAGTGGTCTCCTTTAAAAAGCAGCTGAAGACTCACTTGTTCAAGCTGGCTTTTGTATGAACTTCTTCACCACTCTCTCTTTATTCTGCTCTCCCCACCTATTCCACCTTCCTCAGGATCCACTGATTTCCCTCTTTCCTGTTCACTCTCTCTCTTTCTTTACATTTTTAATCACAATTGTCTATTTTTGCTCATTTTAAATATATTTTTAAACATTGTCTAAATGCTTTTTTATATTTTTACAATTTTTTTTGTGAAGCGCCTCGTGATTTTTATCTTGAGAGGCGCTAATAGAAATGATATTTTCTTCTTCTTCTTCTAGACCTGCGCATGACCACAGTAACTTTTTCAAAGTGGTGCCACCAAAATAATATAATTAACACATGATTGTTCATGTCTGCTCATATCCTCTTTGGTAAGATCTGTCTTTTAGTCATGCCTGATGCGCCCCACTGATGAGTTCTTCTGCAGCCTGCAGAAGAACTCATTCCCCGTGGTCCGGTGATTTCACCTGACTGGTGCAGCCGTGTGCGCACTCTGCTGTTTTGCGGTGAGAAGATGCCTTTGATCTGTTTGGTTAAAAAGTAACTCATGAGGGGAAAAATTAGGAAGCCAGGAAACAGTTTTTCTGTAGGTCTGAGAGGAGCTGCAAGAAGGCGAGAGACAGACAGAACAGGAAAGCAGTAAAGAACAAGAAAAGAAAAAGAGCTAGAAAAGGAAAAGGAAAATTGATTTATTCCACTACACTTTTTACTTTTATAAAGCAAAAATTTATAAGCATGTAATATTTATAATTTTTTTACAATTTAGATCACCTTCAAAACTCAAGTTTCCCACACAGGATCGTATCAAGGCATTTTGGGGCCAAGGCAATAGACCCACCCTCTCACCTTGCTCCCCCGGAAGCCTCTGTGTAATTTGTACCCTGCCAGCACAGACCCTCTGTTTCAGCTGATTCTCACATTTTAATAATAAGCGACAACAGGGCTCAGGAATAAAACATGAGTCTGAACCTTCCAACGTGCTGCGAAATCGTCAGACCCACAGTTCAGCTCATCAAGAGGCAGAGAAAAGGATAAATCTTCAACCAAGCTTATAAACTGTAGCTTTATGTTGTTGCTTGTGTTCTGATACATTGTTGTTGCTTAATAAGCAGAAGCTACCTATGCATATATGCATAGTTTCCATGAAGACTAGGCCCAGCTCTCATGCACAGTTTCTCTGGGTGGATGGGGACATGCCTTGTGGGGGTTTAGCCTCTTGAATAGCCTATAGAGCTCCGGGAGTTGAGGTCACTTCTCCCGGCATGCAACAGTTCAAATCGAAACAGCGCCATATTGGCAGGCAGAAGCCCGCAGCTGGACCATTTGTTATTGTCAGATAACTCAATCAAACGGGAAATATGGTAGATTCC